AAGTGCAGGGCGCGACTGGCCTGATCGACAGTAGAGCGGCCATCGCACAGTCCAAAGAGGCTTGAAATGGGCTAATGGTGTAGGGAAAAGCGGGGAGGGCGCGGAGGTAGCGGAAAGGTCATGATGACTTGGAATGCTCTAACATGGCCGGACATAGGCGGAAGGACACTTACTGATGCGAGTAGACGGCCGTGGCCAGCCGATTGCGTGCAAGAACCCGGCTTGAGAAGGTGTCGAATTGCTAATGTGAGCAAACACTCAGTGCGATAATGGAACAGGCAGCGCGACAGTAGTTGGCATTGGGGTGGCGCGTACGTTTGGTGTTTGATGCATGTAGCACAGCTGCCGGCTGGGCACACGTCGTCATCCCTGGTTCCAGACGCCGCGGGGACCTCGGCAGCCATGCGGCTCGCAACTTGGCTCCCAGGCACGGCCTGCAGCAATCGCACACCCACACCATGGGGAAGTTAGTCTTAGCTGTGGCTTGTTGCATGTCCCTGCCACTTCGTAGTGAATGCAAGGTTCAGTCATCTGGCGAAGGGTGGCGTAGAGGACTGTGTCTGTTGTTTTCTGAGCCTGCCACAACGCGCAAAAACACGACTCCCGAACATAGCAGAATCACCTATCTGCTCATGATCATCACACAGGCAAAAGAAGTGGTCTCCGCCAACCTCGCGACGGAACGCCAAAAAAGAACGATCTCCCCACCATGAGTCGAACAAGGGACCTTCTGATAACAGCAGATATTACAGTCAGACGCTCTAAACCAACTGAGCTACGGGGAGAATACTTCAAACGAAGTCGTGCTTGGTTTTTCGATGGAGAAACGGGCAGCATACGCATATATATCTCACCCACATTTGCCAGCTCTGATGCTTCCGTGCAAGTCGAACCCCTCTAGTTGACGACCAATTTGCACCCTTCTCTCACCCGGCCCCACCACTGCTAGCTTTGCGATCCTTCAACCCGCGCCAACGCACAACAACGCCACTAATCATGGCCGCGCCTGAGGAGGATGAGTGGGAGTACGAATACGACGATAATGAGACAGAAGATTTCTACATTCCGCTCGACTTGTCCAATGTGCCTGCAGCGCAAATTCCCATGGTCTCGCAGGGTAGACCAGGCCATCCGACTCTGCTTAAGAGCCGATTGCGCGCACTGAATGCCGCTCGAGCTCAACCAGCCGAGTTCGCCGCCGACAGCAACGATGGACAAGAGACGGCAACCATGGGCGAAGTCCAAATCGTTGGCCTCCACACGCCAAATCCACTGGTCATGTACAACGGCCAGTTGCTGAGTTGCCATTGGACCTCGACCGTCGGAACCGACATGTTCTTCGTGAAGCCGAATGCAAACTCTGCCACTCAGTCAGAAACGCTGCGATCCCTACCGTCGGTTGACTTATTGGCTCTGGGGTCCGCAAAGCTGGTAGCCAAAGTTGGACGTCTGCGACCGCGCGAGGATCTCTTCGATGACGCTAGTAATACGCAACAGGCAGCAGAGGTCGCGCCTGCTCCAGACGGCAACCAGGGCGCTACAACGAGCGTAAACAACATGTCAGACGCTCAGCATTCCAGCAACGAAAAGGCCTCGTCCGCTTCGTCGAGCTTCCTTGCCAGGCTAAATGAGGCCAAAGCCAAGAGAGGAGAGAAGTCGCGCTTGGCAATCTCGAAGACTTCAGAGGGCTCGCGTCTAGTGGCAGAAAAGGCGACAACTGGGATCGCCAATGCAGGAATCGGTACCTCGCAAGCACATGGCGACTTGGTCATGGGCGGCACGTAAGATGTATGCGAAAGGGATGGATGGCCGAAGGAGGTAGGACCACCACGTGCTACATCATTCAAGCAAGTCGCGAAACACCCTTGCGAGTGAGGAGGGCTATCTCAAAGCGTATGCCGACGAAAGAAGATGGCTCGATGAATTCTAAGCGTAGTAGGATAAAGCGGTATGCTGCAGTATCCGCAAGAGTGAGGTCCTGTCACCGCGTAAGATCTACTTAGGTGCACTTGCCACGCCGCCCATCAGCGTACCTGCCACCAAAAAGGAAGCTCGAGGCACCTTTGTTCTAGACCGCACATGGCTACCTCTTCAGACGTGCTTTCAATGGACTAGCTCTACGGTCACGTCTCCTCCACATTCTATTATCTCATACCTGATCTATCATCCTGCTCCCTACGCATACTCTACCTTTACCCATCCCGATGCAGCGAAAGCTAGACAGACTGAGTGTCGGCATCATTCCGGAGCAGTCCATAGATGTTGCCGACACATCCTTCCACTGGCTATTTGGCAAAGACGGTGGCTATGTCACCCGGCTCAATGACGACTATGCGCAAGATACACCAGACGACAACTTTCCGTCTGCGAAATCAGAAGCAAGAATCACGAGAGAGATCGGAGACTGGATGCAGTCACAAGAATGTGATGAGTTCTGGGCGCCTCGGGCGCGGCAGCCTCGTCGCGTTAGCAGCTCTCAGCCAAGCGGGCTGCTCTTCAAACTGACAGATACAGACACTTCCAACTGCACACCAACTACTCGAACAACTTCATGACGACAAAATGATGACAGAAGTCTCTCCAAGTAACATCGTCGCCTGCGAGACGATTCTCCAACTCATCGCTTTGCAGTTGCTAGCAGCGTGCTACACCCTCTCACCCCCTTCGAGCGCAAATCATATTCCACTGTTTCAGCAGCGCAAAGAGAGAAGATTCGTGACAGCCCTGCGGTCACATTCTCATCACCGGTATTCTCCAGCCGCCGGTCACCAAGCCCGCCCACCTTCCGAGACGGAATCTTGGCCTGGGCTTTATACGGGGCCTTCTACCGAAGACAAGCTGGCGCAATACGTCAGTCAGAGGCGTAAGATGCGCAAGCAAAGCAGCGATTATATACCACACTTCACTGCGAGCGGATGGACAGATGGGCCGCCAGCGATAACCACACGTGAAGACTCACGGAGCACCTTATCAAGAGAAAGCTCCAGCTCCTCGTCTGAACCCGGGTTCTTCTCCAAACTAATATGTCAGGCAGCAGTACCGAAGAACTATCGGCGAAGACATGACACCATATTTTTTAGTCGCACGACTTCGAAACACAAGAAGCAAAAACGAACACAATTTGAGGACAAGCCGGACAATCGCGCGGAACGCCAAAAGATTAGTTCCCAGCCCGTTCAACGTATACCCTCGTTACATCGTCTCAGGCATACCCAGTCTGCTCTGTGCATTGAAGTAGAAGCAGACATAGAAGAAGAGATACCTGTCGAAAGCCCACATGACGGGAAACGTCACCCCTCGGACCCGTCGATTGGCAGTATTCTTACCTACACCTTCCAAATCCCTGAGGTACGACGCACCTCTGTTACACCAAATTCCAACTGGGGCCCCGCTTCCTCGGAAGAGGGCATGATGCGTGCCTGCGGACGAGGAGATCTCATCGTCACACGGGACTATTTCGACGATGTACCCGAGACCCCAGACAATGCACGTCATCAGCAGTCGAGGTGGAAGATACCTCATTGGCGCCACAAGCTTGGTGACTCTCCACCACTACCCGCCACTATGTCATCTACACAGCCCATAATTACCACCCCAGCGGTAGATTACTTCGCCCAAGTCTATACCGAGAAGCACGTTACTCATCAAACCGACGATCCCGAGATCGCAGCAGAAGAACATAGTGATGCTGGTCCCGAGATCGAAGATGATCCAAGGCTGCGAAAGATGCTGGGAAACATTGTGACTCCGTCCAGCAACGACGAATCCAGTGACAGTGATATGGAACATACCAAGAAAAGAAAGGGCATCAAAGAATCAGAAACTACAGCCTTTGAGGTTGCAGAACGGTTTCGAGATAAGACGGGAGATGCGTGGGAGCACACAAGAGTCAAAGTGCCTTGGTGATGCCACAGACGAACACGCGGTATGCGCGTAGGCAGCTTGCCTAGATTTTCAGCCCTTCCGGGTCTACCTAGGAGGCTTTGCTTCAGCGGCAGCTCTATACATCCTGTAGATATAAGTCGACCTCATGCCCAGAACAGGATTGTCAAAGTCGTTCTCCCTCTTCTCATGTAGCTTGAAGCCAACCTTTGTCAAGACATTCTGACTAGCTGCCAGCTCGGTATCTGTATGTGCCTCCGCGAAGTCGTACCTTGGTGCCAGCCTGCTCCTGTTGTTCCTCCAATCTCCCTCTATCAGTCCGTTGTTCGCCTTGCCATTGTATGTGCCTTGTCTGTAGTCTTCCGACACATAGTCCGCGATATCACGGCCCGAGTAATGCTCGAAGAACAAGGGCATGAACGCCTCCAATGCTTCTGTAGCGTACCCTCGTCCCCAGTATTCGGCATTGAACATGTAACCAATCTCTGGGGCGCGGACTGCTCCTATCAAGCCGATGACGTGCGGGCCTTCGTGTGGCGCTAGGAGGACGATTGCAAAGTTCCAGTTGCATTCAACCTGGTGACACTGTAGACGGTTAGCATACGTCCGGATGCATTATGTAGGGTAGTAGGCTTACACCTTGAATCCATGCTTTCGTGCCCTCGAGATCATCTGAAGGTAGAAGAGAGGTATGTTTCATAACTTCCGGATGCTTCCGCATCAACAACACGTCCTCTGCATCTTCGAGGCGCAACGGCCGCAGCAGCAGGCGTTGGGTCCTCGCGAATATCTGCGGGTCAACCACCACCATCGTCGCAAGCGTGCGGAACGAGAAAGTAATATCGAGCCATTGCCGGCTGTACTGTGCGCTGATTAAGACTCACATTGTGTCGTGTGTCATGTCATCAAGCTGTCGCTGTCGCTGTGGCCTGCGCTTGTGCCTTGCAGCACGCGTCAAGAGCTATACCCTTTACAGACATGTAACGCCCATCTCCAAAACTCCAGCTGTTCAAACACACCGCATACAACCGCACAACCAATCAAGATGGCGTCCTGAAGAGCGCTTTACATCATCTCCAAAGCTTCTTCGTCGTTTCCGGTCAGATCCAGCCTTTACCATGTCGAATTCAATACTTTCCGCTTCCGCGAAGGGAGCCACCTTTCTCATCCTCCTGCAGGTGGCTTCGCGGGCGCTGACGTTTGCTGTCAATCAGGTTCTGTTGAGGTTCCTATCACCAGAGCTACTGGGCGTGTCGGCGCAGCTGGAGCTGTTTTCCATCTCTGTGTTGTATTTTGCCCGCGAGAGTCTGCGTGTGGCGCTGCAGCGTCAGGCTCATAGGACGCAGGCTGTCGTCAACCTTTCGTATCTCGCTGTCTTTTTCGGCACGCCTCTGGCCTATCTTCTCGCGCTACTATGGATGCGTTCCGATACGCCAAACGTTCCGTACTTCATGGAGGCCCTGGTTGTGTATTGCCTGGCTACTTTCTTGGAACTGCTGAGCGAGCCGGCGTTTTCTGCTGTGCAGCAGAAGCTACTTTACAAGGTTCGAGCGTCGGCTGAGAGTTCAGCTACTTTGCTGCGCTGCGTTGGTACATGTGGCTCAGCTATCTTGGCTAGTCGAGCTGGCTTGGACATTGGGGTCTTGCCATTCGCTATCGGGCAGCTGGCGTATGCATTGGCTTTGCTTGTTGTGTATTCGTACAAAACGTGGCCTGTTGCAAAGACTGATGGCTTCTCGCTGTTCCCGGAAAGAGTACAATCCACTCAGGAAAACCCGACATTGATGAATTACTTCTCAGCTCCTCTGCTGCGACTGACTGCATCTCTTAGTCTGCAGTCAGCGCTGAAGTATGTTCTCACCCAGGGAGACTCTCTTCTCATTACAACGCTGGCATCTCTCGCAGATCAAGGCGCCTATGCGCTCGCTTCAAACTATGGAGGCCTCATTGCACGCATGCTTTTCCAACCCATTGAAGAAAGTAGTCGCAACATGTTCGCCAAACTATGCGCAAACGTAGAGACGTCAGCAACGGAGAAGAAGGATCTAAAGAAGTCGGACGAACAAAAGCAAGACCTTGCTCAAGCTTCTAGGGTATTGAGTACCATACTTCGACTCTATGGAATTATCTCCTTGTTCGCGGTTACACTAGGACCTGTACTAGCTCCAGTGCTTCTCTCCATCGTCGCTGGGAAAAAGTGGTCTGCAACCTCTGCTTCGCAGGTACTCTCCACTTATTGCTACTACATACCCTTTCTCGCTATCAACGGAGTCACGGAGGCTTTTGTAGCCGCAGTGGCAACCAACAAAGAGCTATACGCACAGTCCATTTCTATGGGCATCTTCTTTGCGCTCTTCGCGGGTAGTGCTTGGTTCTTCATCGGGCAGCTCGAGATGGGAGGCAATGGCGTGGTTCTCGCAAACACGGTCAACATGGGCTTGCGCATCGTCTGGAATACCTGGTTCATTAGGCGGTTCTTCGCGAAGAACGGCTCCGAGTTCAATGTACTCGAGACATTGCCCTCACTTGCTGCCGTGGCACCGGCGGCTGTTATACCTACCCTGATGCGAACGAAACCTGCAATCAGCTTTCTTGGACGGCTTGGGGTGCTTGGGGAGCTGATCAGTATGGGTGCAGTGGGTGGTGTTTACGTCTTGCACGTTCTTTTCTTCGAACGGCAGTTTCTCGTCGACTGCTATCGCATGCTTCGACCGTCGCGGTCTGCTCAGCCACCCACGAAGTCGACTTGATCGAACACTGGATGCGGAAGAGTTGGCCATACAAAGCATGATTCGCTTCCGACTTTAAAGATGCCGATTGCTGTCTTTCAGCCCTCACAGCGCCCTTTGATATCTTCCACGCCCTTCTGCAGTGCGCAACAGGCAGTCAATTCTATCTCTCCCATGATATATCTCGGGGTTTCATTACTACCTGGTCGACTGAGTGCATGGCTGACCAGATTGTTGTTGATTTTCATTCGATATCGAATCACTTTTCCCTCCAAGGATAGGACTCTTACGAACAGCAGAAGCGATACATTCGACCACACTGCTCGGTAATTAGGTGACAATACCGATACCGCAACCTGGATCTCCGCAGCACCTTCTAATGTCGTCGTGGCCGCGGTCATAGAACGTTCCTGCCAAAGTCTCTGTCCCACCCTCGCATGATTGGTCACGAATGCTAGCGTCATAATCTTCCTCCATACAGGTAGTGGGGACCCCCGCAACGTCATCGCGAACACAGAAAGTCAGCCCAGAAAATACTTCACATCACAAGACACTGCTGTAACAACCTCTCAAGTAATCTGGGGGTAATAGAAACCACCTTCAGAAAGCTGGGGGTAATCAATATCACTCTTGCATAAGGCGGGACACAACAGCGCCGCTAAGGAGTTTCCTGGGGGTAAGAGAAACTAAGTCTCGAACTGGAACCGCCTTAATCACGCCATCAAAATTCTACGGTTCGCACCGTTTCTTCCGCTTACCTCTTGGCTGACATCTGGGGCACCAATCGCAAATCCGGGGAACCTGCACTACCAAAATGGTCACGACAGACGAGTCAAGACACCTCCATGGGTTGGTTGACATGGGGAGCAACGGGATCCGCTTTTCGATCACCGACCTGGCGCCCGCGACGAGTAGGCTGTTGCCGACTGTGTACCTGGATCGGGCAGCAATTTCGCTGTACGACGCGCAGTACGAAAATGGCCAGGTTGTGCCGATACCAGAACCGACTATCAAGCAAGTGATCAAGTCACTATTGCGTTTCAAGGATACATGTGAAGATTTTGGAGTACCCGAGAAGCAGATTCAGATTGTAGCTACTGAAGCTACTCGGAAAGCCAGCAACTCTGAAGACTTCCAAAGCAAGATCAAGGATGCTACTGGCTGGACTGTACAACTCTTGTCGAAGGAAATGGAAGGCCGGATTGGAGCTTTCGGTGTAGCGAGCTCCTATCATAACCCGATTGGACTCATGATGGACCTTGGTGGAGGCTCTACACAGATCAATTGGATGATTCCGTCACAGCGCGGCCAAATCGACACATGCGAGAAAGGAAGCGCAAGCCTACCATACGGCGCGGCTGCCCTCGCGAAGAGGCTCGAAGAAGCAGGCTCTCCTGATAGCGATGCTTTCCGGACATTCGAAAGCCAAGTCATTGCGGAGCTTAAAGCTGCGGTACAATACATAGAGGTACCACAGCAGTTGCTTGACCGCTCACAGTCACCCGAAGGTCTCTCGCTTTACCTGTCTGGAGGCGGCTTCCGAGGCTGGGGTTTTGTACTCATGTCGGAGCATGCGATTCAGCCATATCCCATACCCATCATCAATGGGTTCCGGACGACCAAGGACGCGTTTCACGACACCCAGGCTGTACAAGCAGCGGTGCAAAGAGAGGATACACCCGACATCTTTCGGGTCTCGGCCCGCAGAGCAAGTCAGGTTCCAGCAGTTGCTTTCCTGGTGAACTGCCTGTCCAAAGCACTGCCGAGCATCAAAGATGTGTATTTCTGCCAAGGCGGTGTGAGGGAAGGCACGTACTTCTCAGAGATGTGGCTCACGCCCAGTCCGTTGTTCGAAACCACGATGAGATACGCTAAGCCATCGAGCGGGGAGTTTATGGCGATGTTGCAGGGAATCAGTACCCCTCCGCCAACGGCGTCTCATCAAGAACTGTTCAACTACGAGATGCAGAGAGCTTTTGGGCGTGCTATGTTTGCACACATGGGGCAAGTCAAGGACCTCCAAGCTGGAGCTGCGCTCCGAAGTACAACGACCGGTTTGTTCTCTTCTGCACATGGTTTGACACACGAAGACCGCGCGATACTTGCCATCTTCCTTTGCGAGCGCTACGGTGGCTACGGTTCTATCAGTCCAACAGAGCAGGACTTCTACCGCCGAATGCTGCAGCTCGTGCCAGAAGACTTGCGATGGTGGTGTATGTTACTTGGCCGCGTTGCTGCAGTTCTGGCCAGCGTTTATCCTGCGGGTCTGATACGAGAGAAGAGGGTGAAGATCACTTCCCAGTGGACAACGACGAAGAAAGAAAACGAGAAACTGTGTATCGATTTCAAGTTTACCAAGGAGCCGGACGAACTCGATGAAAGGCTTCATGCAGCGCTCAAAAAGGTGGAAAAGGCAGGGAAGAAGAAGAATTGGATAGGAGGACACGGCTACAAAGTGCTTCTGACGATCAACGGCAAGGAGTTTGGTGAGGATAACTGAGAATACCCAATGTTCTGAACCCTATTATGTGATTAGATAGTCTAGATGCCAGCTCGCACGAAAATAGCACTGTGGCGAGGATCGTGAAATCCAGACTTTGTAATCGCCATGGCACTGCAGCTGACACGAAGCATCGTGACATGGAGAGCGGTGTATTACGACGGCTTCACTGGTCGTGCAATGGCCATGGCTCGGAAGCGACGGGCATCGTGACCTGCTGTCCGCGGGCTGGATGACCCTTCGCCTCATGACCGACCACCGGAACTCCTGGAAGACGTGGCCTGTAACGCCCGGACTGGCAGCACGTGCAGCAGACAAGCCAGTCCCAGGAGGCCCCATCAGTCATGGAAACCGTTTGGAGACGGCGCCAAGGATCGTGAGTTCAATTCTGCAGGACGCGTAGGTGGGGATGCGAGGTGAGGAGGCACTAATGCGGCGGCCTTGACGGCGCTCCTCATTGCGCGCGCATATGGTGCAATAGCTCATGCAGTCAAGGCCAGGTTTCGGTCGGCGGATTGAGGAAAACTCTGATGCGGCTTTTTTGCAGGTCATGTTCTTGGAGCACTGCGAGCACCGGCTTGGTGGCCCCGTTTCTAATTACGTGAAGTTTGCCCAGGTGGGCGATGCGGTGCAGGCGCTAGCGGCTGCACATTCTGGGGAAGCTGGACTCGGCTTTCCACGGTTGAGTTCAGGTACGCCGCTGCCGAGCCTCCAACGACCATGAGACAAGACGTGAAAGGTTATAAAGATGACGGGGCCCGCCTTCGCTGCTGGGGCACTGACCGTACCCTCTTTGCAAGCCTCATTCTTGTCAACTATTCTTACTCCCGCATCTTATCTTGATATCGGCATACCAGGGTGTTACTGTCGCACCGCCAGGTACCTCGAAGATTGCAGCGTCGTACTAGCAGGGTCGCTGTCACTCACGTCTTGACTGGCATCGGATGCATTAGACGGGTATACGGACTACTGCACATCTACCTGTACACAAGCTGCCATCCCGATTCCCCAGGGCAGGATACAGAAGAGCGGTGGATCATCTGTCCAATTGCCTGTACCATCGTTATCCGAAGCGGTGATCGACGGCTGCGGCTCGTTGGTTGTACTAAAAGGTAAGCTAGCGTTCCTGCGTCATGGCAGTTACGATGCCCGAAATAGCGGTGCATCGTATTTCTCGGATGCCTTGAATCGTCGACTAACAAGCCCTTCTTTTAGTGTTTTGTGAGCTCAAGGCTTGGGTTTTGCCCCTCTATCATCAAGGGCCCCACTATTGCCCGATCGTCCAAACTTCGTGCGCTTTATCATCACGCCTGACGCGTCTCACCGAGCACGCAATTCAAATAGCATTGTCTCAATCGCTATAACAGCACCTTGCTGAACAGCCACACGATCAATTGCACACGCCCAGCATGGCTTCCACACCGATTGAAGCCGTCAATGGCCTCGCACCCCAGCACAAGCAGCTCGAGCAGCTCCTCCATACTCCAGACCGCCGCCCCTCACCTCTTCCCACACATTTGAGCGCCCCGGGCTCAGGAAGCTCGACACCTCGAACAATCCCACAGGAAGGCTCGGGCGGCTCCGGATATGTTGCACCCGTTTTCGAGGGCAAGGCCCAGCAGATGGAGGCCGTTATGGACGGCGTTGAGGAGAAGGGCTTCATGCCTCCAGAGCTCGTAGAGTCAGAAACCAAGTGGTTCTACAACGAGCTGGGCATTGACGACATGTACTTTGCCACCGAGACGGTAGAAGCGTAAGCATGACTGCGATTCTTGCGAGGACTGCGCTAACAGACGTTACAGTATCATCAGCCACATCCATTCGCTCTACGCCGCAAAGGTCGCCGCATACGCCAGAGATGACAAGCGCCTCGAGATCCGGCTCGACAAGGAAGCCGCTGATCACGCCGTATACATCGATACCAGCAGACCCGGTGTGTCCGTCATTGACGGTCCTCAGTACGAGCAGCGTCTGGGCAAGAAGTACCTGGCTGTATCCAAGCCTGGCCTCGCATACCGCGTAGAGAGCTTCCGCTCGGAGAGCCCGCTGCCTGGAAGCGACGACCAGCAACTGCGATGCTACTTCGTCTACCAGTGCGACTTTGTCGACCCCAACCCCAGCGAGACAGAGACCAACATTGAGAAGATTGGTGACAAGCGTTTCCTGCAGAAGGCGACTGAAAACACAAAGGTCATCTACCAGCAGATTCTCCAAGTCGCTGTAGAGCGTACTGGTCCCGTCATTGACCACTTCGACATCGAAGGCTCAAGAGACAAGCGCCTAGTCGTCGGCTTCAAGCGCGGAAGTGCATTGGGTCTTTTCAGTGCCTTGAGCGACTTGTACCATTACTACGGCCTGACCACCTCGCGAAAGTATGTCGAGCAGTTCTCCAACGGCTACACTGTCATGTCTCTCTACTTGCGCCCGCTTCCAGGAGCTGCCGGTGCCAAGCACCCACCGATTGAAGCCTCGATCCACCAGATCACCAAGGAGGTTTCATTGCTTTACTGTCTTCCGCAGA